GAGGCCAACCGATCGACAGGAGACAGTTACCGTAACACAGATATAATTTCCAAATTTCATCGTAGGTGGGATTTGAATCTTAGACCTGCCACTTGGAGGATGACAACCCAACCACTACACTAGGATCGCCATCTTCAGAAAGGTTATTATTAATGCAAAACTGATATATTTCTTATATACAATATTGATAGTTTTGCGCAAAGCTCCAGAATGTATTTTTCACTATTGAGATCAGTAAATGCATTATCATATACTGTTTGACAATATCTACAATTTCTTGGATGTGATTATCTGAACACAAATTTCTAGTATTACCATCTGAGATCTATAATGAATCAATAAAATTGAATTGATTGTGGGTTTTCGCTGCTTTATTTTTTGAATAACCTAACGCTTTTGATTTTTTATCCTTTAGATATCTAATGATAGCTTGTTTAAGATGCCAGTAACAAAGTTGTAAGTTTGCAATTCCCAACCAAGCATCTTCAGTCACTGATATTTCCCCAACATCTTTATCTACCAAAATGAATATTGAAAGCATCTCTTCATTCCTAAGGCTTGTAAAAAATTCACACAGAACCTGTATACAAGTATTAATTTGATTTCTAGGATCATGATATGCCTCTGCCGTACCAGTACAAGTTAGAAGATATAGATATGCTATTGGCATTTCATATCCTCCACAGTTTGTATTTATAATGAATAGTTTAAAACGTTCTTAATTCATTTTGAATGTAGAGTCTACGATAATCTCTTTTAAGTTTGAAGCATCAATACTGTTAAACAAAGATGTTGTAAATCCAAGAACTTTTACAAAGTCGTTATTCAAGTAATAAAGAATTTTATGCTCTTTGCTTTCAAGATATTTTTTTGTTGACAAGAGCTAATTATTTAGGTTAAACATATATGTATACTATTAAAAAAATGATGTCTAGTAATATACCTGCTCTTTGGTATATATTTGCATATCAATAAGATTTTCATGTTGAAGATGCCTATATAACTCAGAATTTTGTATATTGTATTCAATATTACTTTGAATCTATAATTTTGCAGCTATCAGAAACTCAACCTTCCTATACTCAGGGTGTAAATGTGCTAGTTGATGACTTCCTTGGACAATAATACATTGTTGCTAGGAATCAATAGTTAACTTTATTTTTTCAAAACAGTCATATTGCTCAATAGACACACAAGCCTTGTTTTTTCATTTAACAGGTTGTTCTTCAGACCTTTGCCATTTTCTATCATTTCATTGTACACATTCAAGATACACAGTTACACAATCTGCAAACTTATTTTTTTTTTTATTAGAATACATTTTAGGAACATTCTAGTAATAGTCAGATCCATATTCCAATGGTAGAACTACGATATTTACTAATTGATAAAAGCTTTCTTTAATGGTTTCAAAATCTTGTGTTTCTAATATGAATTCTGGAAAAATGCTTTCAATAAGAGCTGAATCTAGTTCAATTTCAAAATTAATTTTTACTGGCTCATTTAACTTTTCTGCATCTTGAAAATGATTTGAAACTAACTCTTGTATTTCATCTAGATTATATAGAAGACCATCAATGTTATTGAATTCATCAATATTATCTATATCTTGGTCACTTTGCACATTATCTTCATGCAACAAATCTTGAGGCAAATCTTCAGAAAAATCACTATCTTGTTCAAAATCCATATGATCAGTATCAGTTTGGCTAGAGTTCGCAACTGCAACTGAATTAGTTGAATCGGTTTCGAGTTGTTTTCTTTTGCTGAAGATTATATCAATTTTCTTTCACTATTTTTTTCACTCTTCACAGCATTTATTACAGGTCACATGTTTATATAACAGATTATTTTCTTATGGATGACAAAAATTCTCATTGTTAAGCATACAATAACAGTGACTACACATTTTTTTATCAGTATTTGGGCTTTCTCTATTCATTTTTAGGTATCTGGTATTTAATTGATATTTATGTTAAAAAAAAGATATGCTGATATTTTTACTATTTATGTTTAATAATCTTTGTAAGAAAAGTTGAATTTATTAAATTCATTAAAGGTTAAGAGAAAGGGCTTAAATATTTTCATGTATATACTAGAAATAATCTTAAAATTATTTTTATTTTTTATTTTTACTTTAGTTTATGGTATAATTAATTTCAAGACCTGCAGAATTTTAAAAGAACGATACTGCAAGCAATCCATAGTTGGATAATAAAAAAAATAGAATTAAATGACAACTATTTAGTTGGATAACAAAAAAAAAAATAATTAAATAACAACTATTTGGTTGGATAACAAAAAAAAAAAAAATCAAATGACAACTATTCAGTTGGATAACAAAAAAAATATAACCAAACAACAACTATTTCTAGTCCTATTTTCATATTTTATAATAACCAAACTAAATGAACAATATAGTAATTCAATGCAAACAAAATATCCTTTATTTGAAAATTTAATTAAATTAATGATATTTAATATTTATACATTATGCGAATAAATATGCTAAGACTTATAATTCAAAATAACTAGATATTAAAGTCAATAATAACAACTTCAAGTTTTTGTAATTTGACAAAATACATATGCAATTCAAATAAAGTAAGGCTAGTAATTTAAATATAGAAATAATGTAAGAATGAATACGCTGCAATAAAGTAATAAAAAATCTACAATTTTGGCATATATTTAAATACTACATATGTACTTAATGTGATAAATCTTTGATTTCATTAGTTGTGTATGAAATAAAAAGCTAACTAAATTCGATAAAATTCTATTAATATTAATTAGCGATAAATATTTATTTAATTAGTAGTGCATAAAATAATTAATAAATTCGATTAATATATCTAAATGCTAATACGGTGAAATTTAAATTAATAAATATTTTAATTTAATATTAAATTAGTGATAAATATGATTTAATTAGTTGGCATAAAATAAAAATGCTAAATTCGGCAAAATTCTGTTAGCATTAGACTAATTAGAGATAAAGAATTAATTATTTGTGCATAAAATAAGTACGTATGTATATATGTATTAAATTCGTTCGTAAGTAAAATATTTTAATATTTATTATTATAATCACAATAAATATTATTGTACATAATAAGTGCTAGATTCAGTAAAAAAAAACAAAATTTAAAATTAAAAATTATTTTTAGATATGTGGACTCTTAATTTATTTTATTAATTGTGCATAAAAATACTAGTGTAAATGCGCAGCAATTCGAATAAAAATTCGAGTTTTTTTCAAAAAAAAAAACCAAAGTTCGTAGAATTAAATCAAATATTTTACTGAATTTAATCAGAAACTTATCTGATAAAGTTTATTGAAAACCACTTGATGAAATTCGATTAAGTTTTTTTTTTATTAATTCTATGAATTTATAGAATAAAAACAAAAAAAGCTTCATCGAATTTTATCAAGTGGTTCTCAAGATATCTTCGATCAAAGTTTCCGAAAAATTAGAAGCAGCTTTAATTTGATAGATGTTTTGATTCTTGATAGAACTTTGATCGAAGATATCATGAGAACTCCTTGATGAAATTCAATAAAGATTCTTTTGTTTTTATTCTATGAATTCATAGAATTAAAATAAAAAAATCTTGATCGAATTTCATTAAGAGGTGCTCAAGATATCTTCGATCAAAGTTTCTAAAAAAATTCAGTGCAGCTTCAATTTGATAGATGTTTTGATTCTTGATAGAACTTTGATCGAAGATATCTTGAGAACTCCTTGATGAAATTCAATGAAGATTTTTTTGTTTTTATTCTATGAATTTATAGAATTCAAATAAAAAAATCTTCATCAAATTTTATTAAGAGGTTCTCAAGATATCTTTGATCAAAGTTTCCAAAAAATTTGGTGCAACTTCAATTTGGTAGATATTTTGATTCTTGATGAACTTTGATTGAAAATATCTCAAGAACCACTTGATGAAATTTGACAAAGATTTTTTTATGAATTCATAGAATAAAAATATAGAATTTTATTGAATTTCATCAGGTGGTTGTTGATATATCTTCATTTAAATTTTTAAAAATTTACATAAATTGAAAAGGTCTGATCAGGTCGGAAATGATCGACATCATGTGTCTGCCACTTTTTTTTCTGGATGGCTAGAGTACTTCAGAATTTTGGAGATCCCTCTGTATCAGAACAGCATATAAAATACCAATCTAAAAAATTTTACTGGCCAATCAAATTTTGAGATCAGGTGTAACATGAAAAAAGATTAAGAAACTTAAATAATTTGTATCTCGAAATTTTGTCTATAAAACTGCCTTCTGCATATTAAGAAAATGTTTTTCTTGCAAAATTTGGTATAATTGTAACCTACTAAATCTAACCTACTTGTAATATCCTAACTTTAACCTAATAGCAAAATGTTTTTTTTTAATAAAGTTTTTTTGCAATAAGATTACATGATATGCGAAATTGTTTTGCCTAGTGTTGCTAGTCCTGTACTGTATCAGTATGAGTTAATATTTGATAGTAGTGTTTCAAAAAAGATCTGAATCAGTTACAGATTAGATTCGGATTTATGATTTTTGAGACCTGTGCATATATGGATCCTTATAAATATTCATTTGGGTAATACCAGATTAAGAAAATCCTGGCTGAAGATCGTTAAAGATCACTTCTGACCTTATTCAGATCCAATAAAATCACATGATCTCATGTAACAAAACAAATACGAAAAACATAAGAAATTGTAAAAAACCGTAAATAACACAAAAATTTACTATAATAACTTTCAACCTTTAAGTAAATATTTACAGAATGAAAATTTATTTTTAAGACATAATTGTTAATGTTGGATATATAGTGAATTTTTGATATACTAGGACTTATATTTTTTAGCTGACAGCTTAGGATTTTCTTGGCATAAAAAAATTCGATCCATATAGTCTGTTTGGACATAGTTTGGTCAGACTGTAACTACTTCAGTATCGCCACCAAAAATTTTTATGCTCATGTGACCATGTGTTGTATATCTAATCAAATTCAATTCATAATTATTTATATATAAAGTTATATATAAAGATGCAAATATGTATATACATATACACATATATAATGTTGAGTCAATAGAAATCAAGCAAATTTTTTTTAAGTAAATTTTTTTGAAACTTTAAGCAAAGATAACTTAACTAAAACTTTATCAAATTTTATAAAACCTTTTTGAAATAAATGCTACAAATTTGTAAAATTCATTTAAAAAAATTTTTATTAAATTTGATTAAGTTTTTATTGAA